ATAAACTCCAAATATTTCCAATTTTTTATGGGATATTTCTAAAGTTGCTCCTCACCCATGGAATTGATTTTATGAATATTGCAACCTATTTAGTTATAAGATAGAATATTAAAACCTCTAAGTCAATTAATTACTAATTATATAGCCTAGAAATAAAAAAAATTCGTTAAAATTCTAGAAAAAAAAAAGTGAAAACACATGAACTCCTAAAATTTAATAGAGCAATAATAAATTAATTAGAAATCATTTTGGGCTTCAGAGATTAGGTATGCTAACTTTCTAATGCCTAGGCTAATTTTTAATTAATAAAATTAAAAATTTTGATAATTGCCTAAATTTTCATGAAAATGAGCATAGGTGACATAAACTTCTAGTTTTATTTTATTGAGATTTATGATTGATTACCACTTTCAAATTAAATATTTCTAAAATTCAGCCTTTACAAACAATAAAATCCTTAAAATAACAAAACTTCATTAATACATATTTTCAACCACATAAGTGTAGATACACATAACATCTTCAAACCAAATATCACATTATCATGCAAAAAAAAATTTAAAAATAAAAATAAAAAGAAAAGCCTTATCTTAGAAGGTGTACGAATTTCGTATTATTCAAATATATTGTGTACTAGGCTCTGAAAATGTCACGATAATCGCTAATTCAGTATTTAATTCTTTATTTTAAAAGTCATTTAATATTTTTTCAAGGTATAATTTGAGTTCAAGTGTGTATTATTTTAATTAATTTATTTTTAATAAAGTTTATTGTGAGATGATATTTTATTGTGTCTTAAGAAGATCAAAGATGTATTAATGATTTTGTTGTTTTAAGAGGCTGAATTTTAGAAATTATTTAATTTGAAAGTGGTAATCAATCATAAATTTTAAGAAAATAAAACTAGAAGTTGATGACACCTAGATTCATTTTCATGAAAATTTAGGCAATTATAAAAAAAATTAATTTTATTAATTAAAAATTAGCCTAGGCATTAGAAAATTAGTATGCCTAATCTCTAATGCCAAAATGATTTATAATTAATTCATTATTGCATTATTAAATTTTCGGAGTTCACAATGAAGTACGGTATTGTTGTTTTACAAGGGTAAATAGAGGTAACGTTACCAAGTAAACCAAGGAGGTGTATCCACGTGGCATCGAGTCATTTATCTGGGTAGGACCGAGCGGTGGATTGGACGGCTTGGATCGATTGTCCTCTTCAATCGGACGGGGGATCTGCCACTTCTAGAGCCTTCCTTTGCGCTTGGAAGACAACATTTTGCAGATAAGGGCTTGTCATCTTCTCAATTGACAGATTGATTTTTTTTAAACTTCTTTACAATAGCACTACCAAAGTTAATTTGTCTTCTTGATAAAAAAACTACTAATATAAATTGTTATAAACTAAGGTATTAATAATGTATTGTTGAAAAATAATAATAAGCAAATGCTAGCATAATTATAGGTCTTACAAAAAATAATAATACATTTCTTCAACACATTTAGATGACATATTGTTGCGTCCTGGAGTATTCGCGGCGGTAGAGAAATATAAAGTTTAACGTCTTAGCTTTTGTACAAAATTCTAGCCCGCATACATATAAGAAGAGATGGTGGAGTATTCATAGAAGACACCAAGCTTTTTACGTGAAAAACCTCTGAAAATGGGGAAAAACCGCGGGGCATAGCCTAGTTTGAATGAATCCATTAGTAGTTGCAATTGATTACAAATGAGGCCCTTCATTGGAGGGAATGCATTGGCTTGATGTAACAAATATACATCAAATAAAGTGTGTTACATTGTGGAAATAGGAAGTCAATGTTGATGTGTTTGTTTGGTCATAAGGACTATAGTCGGTGGGTGACGTAAGTCGGAAGGATCGTAGTCGGCGAGCGACAGAGGTCATAAAGACCGTTGTCTGATGACGGAGGTTAGAATGATAACGTCAGAGATAAGTCTAACGATGGAAATAAGTCCAGTGTTGGATAGAAGTCCGACGAATGTCCGGAGACGAGCAGAAGTCCTGCATTAGGTAGTAGCCTGACAGAATTCTGCTGATGGAGGAAGTTCAGCATTAGGTAGGAATTCGATGACTGGCAGAAGTCCAACATTGGGTGGGAATCTGAAGACCGGTGGAAGTCCGGTGTCAGATAGTAATCCGATGATAGGTGCAAGTCCGACGTTGGGTAGAAGTCTGTTGATCGACATAAGTCTGGCGTTGAATAGAAGTCCGGCGAAAGTCTGATGATTGGTAGAAATTCGATGTCGAGCACTACAGGAAAAACGTCAATTTTCGGCGTTAATTTTTCGTCGGAAAATGGCCAAAATCCACCATAAATTAGTATTTCTGACGGAAATATTTACGCCGATCCAACGTGCATCGGAAAAGTGTTATCTATGTAAAACAACATTTTGCAGATAAGGGCTTGTCATCTTCTCAATTGACAGATTGATTTTTTTTAAACTTCTTTACAATAGCACTACCAAAGTTAATTTGTCTTCTTGATAAAAAAACTACTAATATAAATTGTTATAAACTAAGGTATTAATAATGTATTGTTGAAAAATATTAATAAGCAAATGCTAGCATAATTATATGTCTTACAAAAAATAATAATACATTTCTTCAACAAATTTAGATGACATATTGTTGCATCCTGGAGTATTCGCCGCGGTAGAGAAATATAAAGTTTAACGTCTTAGCTTTTGTACGAAATTCTAGCCTGCATACATATGAAAAGAGATGGTGGAGTATTCATAGGAGACACCAAGCTTGTTACGTGAAAAACCTCTGAAAATGGGGAAAAACCACGGGGCCTAGCCTAGTTTGAATGAATCCATTAGTAGTTGCAGTTGATTATAAATTAGGCCCTTCTTTGGAGGGAATGAAGTGGTTTGATGTAACAAATATACATCAAATAAAGCGTGTTACATGGTGGAAATAGGAAGTCAATGTTGATGTGTTTGTTTGGTCAGAAAGACGGTAGTCGGTGGGTGACGTAAGTCGGAATGATCGTAGCCACCAGGCGACAGAGGTCATAAAGACCGTTGTTTGATGACGGAGGTTTGAATGATAGCGTCAGGGAGAAGTCTAATGATGGAAAGAAGTCCAGCGTCGGATACAAGTTCGACGAATGTCCGGAGACGAGCAGAAGTCCTGCATTAGGTAGTAGCCTGACAGGATTTCGGTGATGGAGGAAGTCCAGCGTTAGGTAGGAATTCGATGACAAGCAGAAGTCCAACATTGGGTGGGAATCTGAAGACCAGTGGAAGTCCAGTGTCATATAGTAATCCGATGATAGGTGCAAGTCCGACGTTGGGTAGAAGTCTGTTGATGGACATAAGTCTGGCGTTGAATAGAAGTCTGGTGAAAGTCTGATGACTGGTAGAAATTCGACATCGAGCACTATAGGAAAAACGTCAATTTTTAGTCGGAAAATGGCCAAAATCCACCATAAATTAGTATTTCCAGCGGATTTCTGACATAAATATTTACGCCGGTCCAACTTGCGTCGGAAAAGTGTTATCGATGTAAAACTTTCCGCCAGAAAAATTTTCGGCGAAAAATGCGTCAGAAATATTTCTGGCGGCTGTCGAGGAAGAGTCTGGTGATAAGAGGGTTTTCTTTCTTCTCTTCTTGCTTCCTTGCTTAATTCCGACGTCAGTTGGCATTCAGACAGAACTCCGGGGTCGATGGGCTATCGGGTGGAAGTCCGGCGATGGTCGAGAAAGAGTCTGGTGTAAGAGAGCTTTCTTTATTCTCTTCCTTTTCTTCCTTCTCTTCTTGCTTCCTTGCTTAATTTCGGCGCCAGTTGGTGATCGGGCAGAAGTCCGACGTCGGTCGGCTGCAAAGGTGAAAGTCCGGCGCTGGTCCAGGAGGAGTCTCTTCATTGCTTCATTCTCTTCTCTTCTTGCTTGGGTCTCCTTCTTTCCCCTCTTTGGGCTCCTCTTTCTATGAGAAATGAGGAGTCTATTTATAGTTTTCTGAGAGTGACATAACCAGTAAATATGAAGGAGATCAGGGGCAAGTTGGGAGTGATTTGGATGGACGGCGGATATTAAATCCCTTGATCTTGGACTGTTTATTGAAGATTCAAATGTCTTAATGATGTTAGAATTCCGTGATCTTGGGCTTGTTGGATTCATCTCGTCGAGCCGCTTGATTCGACTATAAGCATGTCCCGTTTGGAAACCGTATGGTAATCCAAATTGTGGTTTGAAGCTTCCAATAGTGGTTCGGGTCCATTTGGGCCCAGATTGAGTTGAATTTGGTGTCTTTGAGTTCATATTTTTGAGACTATCAGTTCGACTATAAGTTTGTTGAAATCGGAGTTGAGATGGTCTCTGAATTAATTTTCAAAGTTTACAACTTGATTGTCTTGAGATTTGTGCTCGATCAAGGTAATTTTTTTATGATATATCACATATAATATTAAAGTGCTTTTTTTATTTTATCAAATTATTCCTTTTAGATATATAGGATAAAAAAGTATGACACACATAAATTGAGAAATAGTACAATTTTTATCAAATTTTTAAGATCGAGTGTTGTATATTTCAAATTATAATTTGACACTTAAATTTTCTAATAAAGATATATATATAATTATATGATTCATGATTAAATAATTTGTTAAACTTTAAAAAAAATAGCATTTTTATTTTCATCATTATTGTTATTATTATAAATGATTTTAATTTATCCAAATAAATATTACTCGATTAAAGAAAAAATATAATTATATAAAATCATCAAACATTATTCAAAATTTTATTTAAATCTTTTAATAATATACCAATACTTAGGCATATACATAGTCATTAAAAAAATTATAGAGTTATTAGATATTTTAATTACTTCCATGGTTAAATATAAGCAGGAGGGCTGTTGTAAATTTAATATTCTTGGACCCTTTTATGCATAATTCTGAAATAAAAAATGCAAATCTAGTTTTCGAACCAAGTTTCCGGGAAAAAAACATAAAAAGCTTGCTAATAGGGTTAGGTTGTCACAACGCCTCCTCTTCCCGATAGGGTTAAAGCAGATTCGTAGGCGAAGGCGAGCGATCGAGCGAGCGAGCGAGCGAGGGAGGAGTAAGAGGAAAGCTGAGGTCAGTGGAGGGATTCCGCTTTCGTTATTGTTATTGGATCGTTTTCGGCTGTAGCCACTCGACGGCGGACGAGGTGATCGGTCAAAGGGGCGGCTGTGGTTGGCGCGTTTCCTGCCAGATCTTGAACTTAGGTGAGTGTACCGAACTGATACCTTTGATTCATGAATGGATCTTTTTTTTTTTGGGCGATGGTTGATTTGACTTGGGATCATACATCGTTTTCGTCGTTCTGATTCGACCAAGGTCGGATGAAGAGAGTTCCTGTTATTTTTTTAATTGTTTATTTGAATCTATTTGTCGATTTAGTTTCTGTTCTGGTTTGGCGATTCAATGGCCTTAAGTGCTTTAAACTTGATCTGTTGAGTTCGATGGTATGAATGTTGAAAATGATGGGGAGTTTATTGCGTTCGACCGGATTTTCGGGCGACGAATATACCTAATGGTTTTATTTTAAGTAAAAAGAAAAAAGGATTACGGAGTGCGCTGTTTAACTATCCATGGGATGTGAAGCTGTTTAGTAAAGATCTGGATGAATACCGAGTAAGCCTAGTTAAAATCTAGAACCTTCCGATTGTTCTGCCGCTTTTTCTACTGCTTATTTATAAAATCATTTTTATAGTTTCTATATCTTTGTGATTATTTAGCTTGCATATCATGTTTTTCTTTTCTCGTAATATTCACTGTATCGCGATTTGGGCTCTGCTTGAATGTGCCTTAATATACCTGTATAAGTAATATTGTGATGTGAACAAATCATGAGCATTATGGGGAACTGTGAGCAAAGAATTTATATGCTCTGTCTATTTATTTTGGATTCTTCTTTTTTAGATGATTTCACATCGTTTTTTTTGTAGCCATTTATTTGATTAAGGTGTTTAATATATTTTTTAAACTGTTTTTTGGTGTTGGGTTATGGTTCTGTTTTGGCAAAAATAAGGATTGTAGGCGTTCTGTTTTTAGATCTACGGGATGCTATGCTATTTGGTAAAAGATTTTGAAAAATGCAAAGTAAACCAACTTTAAATCTGGAAGCTTATTGATTCTTCTTACTTTTTTTTTTGTTCTGGAACCTGGAAGTTGTAGTGTGACTATGTTTGAAATATTTTTCGTTGTTATTACGTACCAAAACTTCAGTGTTTCCTGTGGCTGACCGACACTTAAATATTGGTTGTTTACGCAGATTCGTATTTTTTGCAACAATTATAGAGTTCATCTCTTGACCTTGCATATCTTCCGAAGTGGAGGTTGTCAGGAGTAGTGTGTCTTTTATGTCTGAATTGGACTCTCTTTATTTGGGATCAATTGGGCTGCTTGGAGAGTACCGTCCTACTTCTAGGAAAAAGCACATATGCTTTTCTGAAGATTTTGGTCACATTCATACTGCGACGATTAGAGATTCCATATCAATCAAAAGTCGCCACTTTATGCAACCTGCTTTTCTTGAGATCAATTCCAAAGAAAGAAGCATTCCGCTGTCTTTTACTGCTGATACTCTCTAGCACAACCTTGTTCTTTTAGTTTCCACTGCTGAAGATGGCGTTCCAAAACATAGGTGCTGCCAACAGTGATGATGCCTTCTACAGGTATAAAATGCCCAAGATGATAACAAAAATTGAGGGCCGTGGAAATGGCATTAAGACCAATATAGTGAATATGGTTGATATTGCAAAAGCATTGGCTAGGCCTGCCTCTTACACTACCAAGTACTTTGGGTGTGAGCTTGGAGCCCAATCCAAATTTGATGATAAAACAGGTATATCACTTGTTAATGGTGCTCATGACACTGCCAAATTAGCTGGTCTGCTCGAGAATTTCATTAAAAAGTATGTTCAATGTTATGGATGTGGCAACCCTGAAACTGAAATTATCATCACAAAGACCCAGATGATAACAATGAAGTGTGCTGCATGTGGCTACTTATCAGACGTAGATATGAGGGACAAACTCACAACCTTTATTCTGAAGAACCCACCTGAGCAGAAGAAGGGGTCAAAAGATAAGAAGGCAATGAGGAGGGCGGAGAAAGAAAGACTCAAGGAAGGGGAGGCTGCTGATGAAGAACAAAAGAAGTTGAAGAAAGAGATAAAGAAGAAGAGTTCCAAGGATGCCGTTACTTCAAAATCTACTTCTAAGAAGAAGACTGTCAGCTCTGATGAGGAGCGAACCTCACCAAATGGGAGTCAGGTTGATGAGAATGATGAGGTGGTTGATGAGGAAGATGATATCCAGTGGCAAACTGACACCTCTCTTGAAGCAGCTCGCCAACGTATCCAGGAACAGCTGAATGCTGTTACAGCTGAGATGGTCATGCTTTCAACCAATGAGGAAGAGAAACCAAAGGAAGACAAGAAATCTGAATCCCACAAATCTAATGGACCCGTTGAGGAAACCAAGAATGTCAGCACACATGACAAGCTCGTTATGGAGTTCAGAGGCAAATTGGAGAAGGGTTCGAAGCCAAGCGAGCTTGCCACATTTGCCAAGTCACTGGCAGGTTCTCCGCAGGAAGTTATGGATGCACTTTTTGAAGCTCTCTTTGACGGGACAGGGAAAGGGTTTGCCAAGCAAGTGGCCAAAAAGTTGAATTACATTACTGCTGCAGTGCAGGAAGAAGGGGCACAGATGCTTCTGCTCCATGCTATTGAGACCTTCTGTTGTAATCGTAGCGGGGATGCAGTTAAGGAGATCGCTTTAGCTGCTAAAGTTCTTTATGATGGAGACGTGCTTGAGGAGGAGTTCATAGTCCAGTGGTATCAGAACGGCATCACAGGAGCAACTAAGAATTCTCCGATGTGGAAGAATATGAAACCTTTTATTGAGTGGCTTCAGAATGCCGAGTCCGAGGAAGAAGAGTAAGTTGGTCTTTTAATATTATATTGCGAGTGTTGTCCTAATATAGTACCGGTGCCATTTACTTAGTGGTTTGTTTGTGTGAAGTCTTACTTTTAATGGTGATGCAGAACAAGTCTAGAGGTAATTTTGGAGTCCGAAATAGTCCAAGTTTGGAGTCTGCTATGTTTTATGGTTGTGTTCACATTGTCTCTTCGTAAACTGCTTTGCTTGCTGCATAAGTTCTATCGTATTTATGCATTAAAATAAAGGACGTGTAATATGAAGATGTTCAATTATGTTTACATGTTATGGTATTTTCTATTCTTCCGTGATATGATTTGGTGTTTCTTTGACATTCGAGGAAATGCATGTTTAATTAAGCGGTTCTTTTCAGACAGTTGTATATATCCATAAAAATAGTTTCTGAATTATTATTGGAAAAGTAGGGTTTATAAGGTCTTGTAGAATTTTAGATTTTTTTTTTAATTTCTTATTAGAAAGATTCAAACTTTCTTATAGTTATTATATTTTAGTATAGCAGTTAAATAGAAGTAATAGCCTATTTAAAGAATTAAGTTGTATTAACTATGTAGCAAGAAGATATCGTGGCAACTAAGGAGACTTTTTAACAATTTCCTTAGTGCAATTAAAAAAGGACAAAAGAAGAGACCACTGGACGAACAACCCAAATTGCGTTAAGTTCATGAGTTCCAAATGCTCAAGGCAATAGCATATCTGGCACAAGATAGTGTGCCTGTATAAAGTCTGTAAAAGCGAGAGGCGATAAGAATGACGGGGCAGCGGGCGGTTGTTGGCGGCAGAGAGAACGACGGGGAGAAGTTTATATATATATATATAAAAGAAATAATATTTAGTAAAGTATTTTGTACAAATTTCATCCATAAAAGCAACCCATGCAAAAGTTATGGAATATTATACGAAGTAGGTTTGATGTTCCATGTCTTGGAAGAAAATCTCAAAGGAAGTGCTTAAAATGTGGTTCAGGGAGTTTGAGCTTAGTAAGCCAGAATATTAGTAACAGCTATCCATTTTTTATTAAGCTAATAAAGAATAATTTTTTTCCTAATTTGTTGTGTACAACGAGATTTATTTTGGTTGTCATAGCATGATACTCAAATCAGAACAAAATTTGAGAACATGGAGTGACTTGTTTGCAAGATATGTTTAAAGTATGAGGACAGGAGATTAATAGCTATCCATTTTTTATTAAGCTAATAAAGAATAATTTTTTTCCTAATTTGTTGTGTACAACGAGATTTATTTTGGTTGTCATAGCATGATACTCAAATCAGAACAAAATTTGAGAACATGGAGTGACTTGTTTGCAAGATATGTTTAAAGTATGAGGACAGGAGAGCATTCGCTTTGGATTGGTGAGAGTGTATGGGCTGAGCTCAGGATTACTTGGGGTAACCTAGACTACACAATGAGGAGGGAGTAGAATATACATAATGGAGCTTTTGACTTTAGAGGATTGGGAAGCTCCCTACATATTAGGGGCTCAGTTTCATACATTGAGCATAGATGATGATTGATAAAAACTTAAATAATTTTTTTTTTTTTTGCATGCGCATTAAAATTTAAGTACTATATCGCAGAAGGAGATGTTTAGTAGAGAGCTCATTGTAGTTGAGTTATACAGTCACACTCATAAGTGTCAGGAAGATTAGCAATGGGTGGATAAGCGAGCTATGAGCTATGAGGGCATATGTAAGTATATAAGAATATTATGCTTACAAAAATATCATAAACGATAATTATATGATGATTAATCTTATATTATATTTTGTACATAGGATGAGTATGCATGACTTCGAGAGATCCAGGCTACAGCTGGAGAGGGATTCTATATGGGTTCTACATATATTTATGACTACCACACTTGGATGCTGGTGGTAGGTAGAATACATAAAAAATGAATTTATGGATTAGGCTCGCAGGCCGTCGTGTATGAGGGACAGTCCTCTTCAGCCACCAGCCACTCTGCAGGCAGGTAAGAGAGTTTAGTTAACCAGTAGGTGGCTAACTTAGCAGCAGAGTTAGAATATGTTAAAAAATATATAAACAGACATAAACACTCAGATATTGGAGGAGCATAGAAGATTGAGCGAGCGAATTGGCAGAACTCAACTGGCACCTCCATCGACTAAGCAGGACAGCGAGCATAAATATTCCAATTAGATTGTCGACTGAGATAGATTTTGACATATTTTATGTTATTTGATATATAAGATATGTTGAAAATGTAATAGTGTTATTACTTTTGTTGAATTTTATTGAATGTGATTGTAAGTTCATTAATCTGCATAGTTTGAGTAGTATTCTTTGATTATATTTATTTTTTACTACAATTTTTTTATAACAGCTTAGATTATTAATGTTAGAAAGCCCAAAAAATGATTGTATGAGCTATTTTTTGTTATGTTATAGGTTTGCGGTGGATTTGTGGTGAAAATTTTATCACAAATGTTTTGGGTCTAGTAATTAGGTTGTTTCCAAAAAGTGTTAGGAGATAACTACACATAAAACAATAATATTTGGAATCATCAAAATAATACAAGTTGCAAGAATGTAAAACATGCAAATAGCAACTTTCCTAACAAAATGTTGATACGATGATCTAGTATCAACGTTTGTGATGAATCTATCAATCACAAATTGCGACGGATTATTTGTAAAAAATCTGCAACAATTTATGACGAAATCTGTGGCGGACCATAAAAATGAAGCCATTATTTCAATAGAGATTATTCCATTACAAATTCACCATAAATTCATAGCAAAAATTTTGCAATGAATTTTGTTTGTCACACATATGTTTGCGAAGCCCATTTTACTATCGGAACTATATCTATCAGAAATCCACTACAAATCAAAATTTGTTATAGATTTATGAAAATTTTCAGCGGATTTTGCCGCTTTAAATAGCTTATTTTCCTGTATTTATAAAACTAAATAGACCTCTGAACTCCTATCTTTGATTTCAATTTCACTAGTTTTATAAAAAGTTATAAATAAAAATGCATTTCTCTCAAGTTTTATGATGTTTTTAGTCTATAACTTTTGATATGTTTTTGTGCACTTTATCCTAAATATTTTGACTATATTAAATCAGATTTTTATCAGTTGGTTTTTCCTACGTAATTTTCTAACTATATAAGTTGATTGAGATTTTTCTGGCAATTATAACAGTTGTATAAAAGTATTAAAATGCTCATGTAAATATCCCTCTAAAGTTAATATTTGAATGGAAAAAGTTCTATGAGTATAAAATTATACAGGCAATGCGACCTTTTTCTAGTTGTTCTGGTAATTCATACATCATCCAAGTATTGCATCAAAATCATAATGAATTACAATTACAATTACATTTGCACTATTGTAGCATGGAAGTGGAAATATTTTGATATATAAAAAATGCACTCTTTGTTATGTTATAATGCTCTTATATGTTCTATTTTGACCTCATCTACCTTGTGTGGATGTGAGAGAGATTTTGTCCAGACTTGCTAAAAAGCGGGTGTGGGAAGTTATTTGGCTCTATTTTGTTTTGAGATTATGGCCCCACTTTCCATATCTGGATGTGAGAAGTAATAGGAGATATAAGTGGAAGTTGGGTTATGTGCATTATAATCATGCATTGCATATTCTGATAATTTACAGAATTAAGTATACTTAATATTCGAAATTGAATGTTAGTAACTTCTTAATTACTATATAAACCCTAATAAAATGTGAAACTTAAGTGAAAGTGAACCTTTGATGATAAGTGTTCAGTGATATATTTTAAATTTCTATGAAAGTGGCTTTAAAGGTATAAATAAAAAAAACTTTGAAATCAAGTACACATGGAAACCCTAAAAAATCATAATCTTCTAGTACTTTATTCATTCTTTACAAGCTATTATATTTTTTAATTAAACTACTATTTAATATTTTAATTTGAATATTGATATCTATGATGGGATATGGGAAGAAGTCTACTAAGCTGATTGTGCTTTTTTTTGTTAATCTTCTAATATTTCAGGAAATTGAAAAGGCCTAGCTGAATATAAAAGAGCATAGACAAATTTGTTTGGTTGGGATTATTAAAAAAATATTTTGTAATCATGTTCTTTTATTTTTTATAATATATAGATTGAAAATAATATATATATATATATATATATATGTGTGTGTGTGTGTGTTTTTGGAAAAATAAAAATGTTGGAGTTTAGTAGCTTTGATTATTTTTGTTGATGGTTAAGTGGATGTTACAAGTTTAGGCTTTCAATCCTTATATTACATTTTAGGGCATCACAGGGTGGTATCAAGAAAAATGATTTGGAAGGATTAGATTGCAACTATAGGAAATGATCTACAACCATAGGAAGAAGGGAGTTGGGGGCTTAGTTTAGAAAAAAATTTATCAGTTTAGGATGAGTATGTGTATAGTTGAAACCTTTTGTTCGTCATATAGATAAGTGTTGCTGCATCTTAAACCCCAAGAGAAATATCCAATTAATGGATAGAGTTCCAGTCATGTTGTATTAGTTTAGAGTATAGTGGGGGCAAAGACATGACTATATGATGTAGTTTGCCTGATTAGGGGCCCAACAAATAAGTGAGGCTCAAGGTGTGATGGCATGAGTTAAGGAAGATAAAGCTGATAAGCATCTGTAGTTATTTATGAGATTGGAGCCTACTTATTTCTAGGGTGCAGTGGAGCCTCAAGTCGTTGAGGATTGACTGATGAGGATAGAGAATTCATTTGCTAGAATGTAATGTATGGAAGGTAGGAAGGTTCGATCAGTTGTATTTCTATTGGATAGAGAAGCATAATACGCCAAAATATAAAGATTTTTTTGGAAGAGTTAGTGGAGATTTTCAGGAGTTGGTTTATGTTTCCATCTGCTAGGCATCAAATATAAGAATCCCTTTAGAGGTGGTACAAGGGAGAGATGTTGATATGATATAAGACAGAGTTAATATCACATGTCAGATATGCTCCACAATTGTTAGTACCCCTAAGAAAAAGTGCTTTCATTTCTTGTGAGATATGAGAAATAGTCTATGGCATCTATTATTATCATTCCATATTTCTTTAAACTCTTAGAGGGCTAGGCCTGGGGAGAATTACCTAATGTCCACCAAACAACAATGGGATGGCAAAAGGAAAATATTAGGTAAAGAGTCCTCCAGGAGTGCATTTAGGGGGAAGAAATATAGGTTGAAGGTTAGTGATTCTACGAGGGGAGGAACTATTATATTTGGGAGAAGAATCTGTGTCTATTAGCAACACTTATATTTTTGGATTTTATAAAAGAAGTATAGACCTGTGTTTTTTTTTTATATTGGTCAACACTTTAAGTATAGTCATACATGTCATAGAGTGGAGTAGTGCCCATAGAGAATGCTAGAAGGTAGACTTGAAGCTGGAGACTGTCAGAGTTAAAGGTAGAACCCAGCCTCTTTTAGAGAGGTTTGTGAGGCTTTGTTGACCCATAGTGGTGGTAGATTCAGAGGGAGACATTCAAGTTAGTCAGCAAGAGAAATTTTAAGGGAAATTATCACTCTGGTTAGTGCAGCCTTGATACAACTAAAAGTATACAATTTGAATAAATAAGAGGTGAAGGAGGCATTAGATATAGTGATAGGTACAATATTTATTTTTGCATTGTTTTGCCATATATTATTTAACCCTAGCATAATACATTCCTTTTTATCAAAGTATGTGTTGGATGGCTTAGGTTTGATTTTGGATTTGTTAGTTTTTTTCTTATCTTTTATGTTGCCCACTGGAGATTTCTTAATAACTAGCCAACTCTGCAAGTGTGAGATAAATTATAAATAATAAAAAAAGTAGGATTTATTCCCTTACCTCTGAAGGCATTTAATATAATAGTGAGTATATATTGGTTGAACAAACATGAGGCTTAGATTGATTGTAGCAAGAAACATATGAGTTTATGTGTGGAAAGAGAAGTATTTTATTTCCAATGTGATTGAAGTATTTTATCCTATCTAATTTATGTGTTACAAATGGATAGGTCTAGGAGAAAGGGGTATTTTATATTTTTGACTTATGTAAATGATTTGAATAGACCTTTTAAAGGTATTGAAGATGTTCTTGTAATAAAAGAATTCCTTGATTACTTTTCCTAAAGAGCTAACTAGATAGCCTTTAGAAAGGGAGGTAGAATTCCTTGTTAAGGTGGTGCGAGGAACAATTCTGAAGATCTCTTATAGGATGACACTGAGGGAGTTACAAGAGTTACAAGTGTAGTTGCATGAGATGTTGGATAGAGATTTTATCAAGTCAAGTGGATCATCATTGGGAGCTCATGTATTTTTTATGAAGAAGATGGATGGATCTTTGAGGATGTGCATTGACTATCAGGAGCTGGACAAGGCGATACTAAAGAATAAGTATCCATTACCTATAATAGATTATCTATTTGATTAGTTCAACGGTGCAACTATATTTTCAACGATTATTTAGAATGAGCTATCATCAATTGAGAGTCAAGGATAAAGATATGGCAAATATAATCTTTTGCACTAGATATGGACAATATGAGATTCTAATGTGTCATTTGGTGTGACAAATGCACCATAAGTGTTTATCTAAATCAATTTATTATTGTGTTCATTGATGATATCCTAGTGTATTCAAAATTTGAAGAGGAATACATATACAATTCATTTGAGGTTAACTTTAGAGAGTTTGAAATAGTAGAAGCTATGCAATAAATTAGGAAAATGTGAATTTTGGTTGACTTATGTAGTATTTTGGGGCATATGGTGAGAAAGGAATGGATTAATATGGATCCCTAGAAGGTGCATGCTATTAGATATTATCCGCATCTTTCTAATATCAATTTTGATTAGTCAAAGTAACATCATATATTGGGATATATCCTATTGGCATATGAAATATAATTTTGTTAGGTTTAAGTTGGTAATTATTAGTATGTTTCAGTTGAAACTAACTACGAACAACTCAATCAATACTCTCATTGCTTTGTTGGCTTTTTGGCAGATGCTTCATTTGTAAATTTTAAATTTTGAAGTATTTTGCTGATGCCTTTGAAATCTATTTGTATGCATATTACATGTTATAATGCATATAAATACTACATATAAGGGAATACTCATTTAAAGCCATAAAAAATATATTACAGTTGTTTGTAAATATTCAAGATTTATAACGTCAAGGTGTGGACTTCGTCAATTAAAGTTTATGTTGCTTTACATTCATTACAAGAATACAACAACAACAATATCAAGCTTTTATCCTACCCCGTGGGATTGGTTACTTGAATCATTTTTCTTCTTTTTTCCCTATTAAAAATTAAATTCTCTTTTAAATTGAACAAAGAAAGATTATTTCTAATATTTTCTAACCAAGCCTTCTTAAGTCTATCTCTATCTTTCTTAACAAAAGTCAACTCTAATGCATCTTTTTTAACCATGTCATCAGATTGCTGCCATTTTATATGACCAAATCATCTAATGTGACTCTCTAATCTTTTCTTCCACTGGATCTACTCCAACCTTCTCACGTATATGCTCATTTCATATCATGACTCGAGTAAAGCTACTCATCCACCTGAACATCCTCATCCCTACAACACTTAATTTAATATTATGCTTCTCTTTTAATGGCCAACATTCAGGTTTAACCACCATCTTATAGAATTTTTTTTAAACTTTGAGGGAGACTTTTCAATCACACAACAAGTCTGACGCATTGATTCACTTCAACACCAACTTGACTTAATACAAAATATTTGATTTAATACTAGTGGAAAATTGCACCTAAAAAACTAATATTATTCTTCTCAGAAATGTATATTCACCTGCTAGAAAATAAATAAATATGTACATAAATAAGTCGGTGCTCAAACAATACTGTTTTTGTAGGATGAGAAAGGTTTTCATGGGCAAATGCAGAACCGTAACACTCGTATAGTTTAACAGATGCACACTACACTTGTCTTCTTGCTGGTACAATAAAGTTAGACTACAGTAAAAACTATCTTCTATGGCATTCGAATGCCATTCCACCTAAGCATGTTAAGTATCATCTCAGCTTCAAAAATTTATGTGAGAAACAACATTAGGTAGATTCATTAAATTTCTTAGCATCATTGGAACTTAACAAAAAACTTCAAAAGCTTATATAACTACAAAAAGATACCACAATAGGTGAACAAAAGAAGCTATAAACTACAGTTCTTACAATCATAAACTCTACTACACAATAGAGAGTAGTAACGCTACTCTCCTCTCCACAATCGACTATATAACGCGATTTAATTTCACTAATAGATTTTAAGTAGATTGAGCTTCTGCATTCATATCTGAAACAGCTATTGTAGGTAAAAGAAGAGACAATGGCTGCCAACCTGAAGAATGAGGTAAAATCCACTTCTTTTGGTGGATTGCTGCATTCAGTATCTGAAGAACTTCACCCAAAGCCTGGGACTTTAAACATGAACGCTTGAGTATGGAAGCTGCATCGTACCTGCACACACAAGGATAATAACACCTGTTTGAGTCCAAGAAAAAAAAAACAAGAAAAATGGGTTCAGATTTGAACTTACATGCATCGTGAAGCCATCATGGAAGAATGCCCATCAGTTGAAGATAGGAACTTAAGAACTACGTCACACACTGCCTTTGAATGTCTGATCTGACTATCCATAACATTTACACATTTCCAAAGTGATTCACCTTTACTAATATAAAAAAGGTTATCTCCTAGTTTGTGCTTGACAACAAGATGATGTTGGACAGCCAATTCCAGGGCCTTACTAACATTGAAATCTTGGATGTTCATCTCCCCATAGCGAATACAGTCCGTTATATTAGCTTCTGTGGGAGGCATTTTCTCTTTTCTTAATATGCGGAGGGCCGATAGGATAGTATCCATCGGACTGTGGATAACAGGAGGACCAGAGGGGTTCCAGGAAATATCATTGCTTTGCATATTTTCTTGATTACAAGGTAGCATACTTTGTGGAATATTAGCAACTGTAGGATAAGAAAAGGTATTATGATGAATAGGATTAGGATACTGAGCAATATTAAGTTTACTAATATCAGGTACGATTTGAGGAGATCCTAATGAAAAGGAAGGATCATTAGGCTTTGATGAGCGAAATATAGGGGCATTTTTCTTGCTTGACAGTTCCGAAGTTGTTCCGGTTTGCGGCCTTGGAGTTCCCTTTATGAAGACTGGGCCATTATGCCAAGTAGATTGAGGATAACAATTGAGCATAGGAGGGGTTGAATAAGTGAAGTTCACAGGCTGTTGATAGGGCCGAGAATGAACTGTACCAAGTGGCTTTAGCAAATGGGGAGGACATTGACTATCATTAAAGTTATTTGAGACGCTTACCATACCATTAGTACAGTAAGGCACTATTGTGCTGGGTTTAGTAGCTTCACGAGCATTTAATTGATTCATTTCAGGCTTTTGTGAGCCATTGATCTTGTGAGGGGAATTTATAAGTGTTTGTGTTGGGATAGAAGGGTTATTATCTGAAAAATTAGTATGAGCTTTGGGAAAAGCTTCAGTATTTGATATTGTTTTGTCAGCTATCTGGCTAATTTGTGTGATGCCAGTAAGACTTAGACTTCCGGAGTGATACTGCATACCCTCATTCCTTGTGATTCTGGATTTGTTGCCACTTTGTTGTCTTTGGATCTTCAGTGCCTGTTGCTTCCCTTTGACTTGGTTGTCACCTTTTTCATTGACATTAGCTTTCTGATATGCCATGTCTGTGTTGGATGAAGGGGAATCACAAGGCTTATTTGCTTCTACAGCACTATTTATGCTAGTTTCTGAAGTTGAGCCATTTTCATTTGTAATAGAGAAGGGTGACAATGGTGGGCCTCCAGCCAGAAGATCAGTCCAGGACCATACAGTCTTGGCAGCAGCAGTAAGTGCTTGAGAAACATTACGAGGCTGAGCAAGGAGGATGTTATATCTCCTCATACTAAGCTGATGCAGTGCATTGGAGAAGTCACGATCCCCAGAAATAAGCAAATAATTTGCAGGAGGTCGGTTGTCAACAGCCCAAAACAACATGTCTACTAGTATTTTCTTATCACTGGCATCTTTTACTCCTGCATTAGATTATCCGGTAAGTCAGCACTAGAATTGTAAAAAGGAATCGAACAGCTACCATTTCATATGATTATGGCAAAGTGGTATTACCCCTTCTCTCTAACAGAAGAGGACTAGAGTTGAAATCTTTAGAAAAAAAAGCATCCAAATACTCGTCAGCATGGATATTAGTTGATCTCAATACATCCCAGAGATATGACTAAAAATAAAATATATTTCCCCTAAAAGTAAAATTTTATGGCAAGCTTCCAAAATAATAACAAATTTTTGAGGGAGTAGGAGACCAACCATTTAGATTCGGATTATTGGACAATGTCACCCCTACCTCATGCTTCGTACTCAGCTCATGAATGATACCGCAGTGCCTTCTGCTCATAAAAGCCCTTTACCCTCACAAGCACCCGTGACAGGGGCAAAAGAGAAAACAGGAGGTATAGCTTCATTTTGTTCTTATATAATTTGAGTTCATCTTTATGGCTACCCATCATCCAATATATATATATATATATATATATATATATATATACATATATATATATATAATAAATACATTATATATATATAGCTATATAGTAATATTTAACTACATATATATTATATATAAATATATATATATATAATTATATTACAACACACGTGCAAGTCTCAACCCCCAGTATAAAACGCGCATATATGTTCAAGTCATTTTTAGGAGATTCCACTTATGTTACCCACTTAAGTATAATATATTTTAGTTCAAAGTATGTTTTTCACCAACCAGCAACTGTGAACATCGAAATCCGCCGCCCAGTTAGAAAGCTGGATTCTAAGAACCGAGGATCAACTTGAAAATCGTCGAACAAGCTGGTTCAATATATATTATTTTATTAAATAAATTCTTTAAATTATTAATTTTTTTGAATTTAAATTTTAAATATATATTTAAAACACATAACATAACAACAATAATATCAAGCCTTTATCCTACTACCGGTCAGCTACAAATAATCATTTTCTTCATTGTGTTTCTATTAAGAGTCAAATTCTCATTGTCTGTGTCCTGGATTGTCATCCATATGTTCTTTGTTGGCTTTTTTATAGTTTGGACATTGTAAGGAGACATGGTTAACTTATTTAGTTCCTGCTATCTTAGCTGTTGTGCTGCTCTTCACTACTCGTTGTTGGATTGCACTATGTTCTATTGCTTTCCTCCATTCGATCTGCTTGGTCATCTGCTGTTATTTTCCTGGTCAATTTTTGCATTTGATGTTGATTGCCTTCTCGATTTCTAGTTGTTTCTTTTTTCTTCTTTATTTGCAATTAAATTTTGGTCTTCATTTTCGGACTCCTTTTGGTATTTTTGATCCCGTTTGATTTGTGCTCCATCAAGCTATGTTCTTTTGTGCCTCCATCTTTTTCAGCATGTGTCACTTTTGCTTCCATTGAATATCTCAGCTTTAGCTTCTTGCCGACCTTTTCTAGGTTTTTTTCCTTTAATTTTTATTTGGATTGTAATTAGATAGGGACCTTTGACACTTAGTATTTTTTATCTTTTTCTTATTGTAGCTCTATGAGCATTAGTATGTTATCGATCACCTTAAGGACTTGTAACTATATTTAAATATTAACGCGTAGGTCTTGTGGATTTTCTCAAACAAACAAAATAAAACAAAACAAAACAAATTCTCAATTAAATCTAATAAAGAAAGGTCATTTCTAATATTTTCTAACCAAGTCTTTTTAGGTCTACCTCTACCTTTCCTAACATAAGCCAAATCTAATAAATCTGCTTTCCTAATCGGGTCATCGGGAGGCCGCCGTTTTATGTGATCAAACTATCCAATGTAGACTCTTAAATCTTATAGCTACTCAAACCTTCTCATGTATATGCTCATTTCGTATCCTGTCTCTAAGAGTAAAAGCCACTCATCCACCTGAGAATCCTCATCTCTGAAACATCAAGTTTTTATCCCACTTCTTGAGGTTGGCTACATGAATTCTTTTTCTCCATTGCATCCTGTTAAGAATCAAATTCTCATTTAGATCTATTAAAGAAAGACATTTTCTAATATTTTCTAACCAAGTCTTTTTAGGTATATCTTTATCTTTCTTAACATATGTCAAATATAATACATCTACTCTCCTGACCGAGTCATCAAAAGGCCTCCGTTTTATGTGACCAAACCACCTAAGGAGACTCATTATAATCTTATCCGTCATTGGAGCTACTCCAACCTTTTGACGTATATGCTCGTTTCATATCCTATCTCTAAGAGTGAAACCACTCATCCACCTGAGCATCCTCATCTTAGCAACACTTAATATTATGCTTCTCTTTTAATGGCCAACATTCTGTGCTATAAAGCATTGCATGTATAACCACCATTTATAGAATTTTGCCTTAAGTTTGAGTGGTAATTTTCTATCACACAACAAGCCCGATGCATTCCTCCACTTCAACCATACAACTTGAATTCTACTAATAATATCCCTATCTATTTCACCGTCACTCTGAACAATAGACCCAAGATATCTAAAATGTGTACACTTATTAATGACTTGATCGCTCAAAGTTACAAACCCCCAATTAGATCTATTACTACTAAAATTACACTCCATGTGTTTGATTTTAGACCTATTCAAACAAAAACCTTTAGACTCTAAGATTAACCTCCATAGATGAAGTTTACCTTCAACACCCTCTTTAGTCTTATCAACAAAAAGAATATCATCAACAAAAAGCATATACCAAGGAACATTCTCTTGCAAATCTCTAGTAAGAGAATCCATGACTAAAGCAAAAAGATACGGGCTTAACGCTGATCCTTGATGTAATTCAACTGAAATTGAAAAATACTTGGTCAAACCACCTTGTGTTTGAACATAAATAACAACTCCAACATACATACCTCTAATGATATGAATATAAGCATTATTAACCCCTTTCTTTTTTAGAACTCTCCATAGCACTTCTATTCAAACTTTATCATAAGCTTTCCCTAAATCAATAAATATTATATGAAGATCTTCCTTATTCTCTCTATACTTCTCCATCAAACCTCTCAATAAATGTATACTTCCAGAGTAGACCTACCCGTCATGAATCTAAATTTATTTTGAGAAACATTAGCATCACGTCGTAACGTATGTTCCATAACACTCTCCCATAGTTTTAATGTATGCCAAATCAACTTAATTCCTCTATAATTTGCACAATCTTGTGCACCACCTTTATTCTTAAAAATAGGAATCAACAAACTCATTCTCCGCACATCTGACATCTGTTTAGTAAGCCAAGAAATTCCTTCATCTCCCAAGCATTTCCACACCTCTATTGGAATATCATCAGATCCAACAATTTCCCACACTTCATTTTTTTTTAAAGTCTCTCTAACTTCTGATTTAATAATGCACTGATAAAAACAAAAATCTCAATTTTCATTTAGAGTACTAAAGTCACTCAACTCAACCGAATTTTCACAATCTTCATTGAAAAGCTTAGCAAAGTATCCCATCCAACTTTGTTGAATATCCTCTTCAAAAAAAAAAATTTTGATCATCATACTTAATGCATCTCACTTGAACTAAATTCTTAGTACTCACATATCTTTGTTTGGCTAGCTTATACATATGTTTTTCGCCCTCTTTGGTATTTAATATATTATATAAATCATTACAAGTTAAAGTCTTTACATTACATATTGCTTTCTTAGACTCCTCACGGGCAACTTTATATTTTTTCAAATTTTCAGTGTTTTTACATCTAAACCATTTTTATAATAGAGCTTCTTATTTTTTATTTTTTCTTGCATATTATGATTCCACCACAAATTATTTTAACTATTAGAAGCTTTTTCCTATGATATTTCAAGCATATCATTTGCAACATTCTTAATATTACAAGCTATTATTTTTCACATAACATTAACTTAATCATGCACCGACAAAATCTTAAGATCAAGAATATTACTCTCAAATATATTTTTGTTAAAGTTTTTTAAATGCCACAATCCAATCTTAGAACAACGATGTACTATATTTTTCATATTCTACCCCTTCATTTTAAAGTCCAAACTAAATAAGCGATGTTGGATACACAGATATTCACTCAAAATAACTTTACAATCTTTGCAATCTAAAAGATCTATTTTTCTTACAAGAAAATAATCAGAGTTTTACAATATTCATTCTTATCAATCTCTTTTTTTAAATAAGGTATTAGCAATTACAAAATCATAAGCTATAGCAAAATATAACATTGTCATACCACCTTCATTAGTCGCTCTAAACCCATAACCACCATGAATACTTTTAAAATCTTCAACATCTCTACCAACATGTTCATTTAAATATTCCCAAAAAAAAAACTCTTTTTTCAAAAGGTACCTTTTGTATTAATTCTTTTAAGTCAATCAAAAATTTTAATTTTGAACACATATCTAAACCTAATAGAGAAGCATAAGCATTTATAATATTAATAATCTTATCATCAACGCTAATCTTCAAAACTATAATTCTATCTTCAATTCTATCAATTTTTACAACATTATCTTTCAAACCCTTATCTATAATCACACCTACACCATTTCTAGTACGATTCCTACCAAAATTTCAAAGTTAAACCCTAAACTATGAATCTCCTTAGCCTTTTCTCCCACCCATTTATTTTCCTGAATTCATAGAATATTTATCTTCTTATGAATCATATATGATATATCAATTAAGGCCATTAATTTACTTGTAAGAAAACCTACATTCCAAGATCTTAACCTAATTTTAGTTTAATGGAGTAACTTCTTTGCCACATCCGTCCATAATGTAGGAATCCTTACCTATTTAATACTGCATACAGGTGTTGATGCAACCCTTGCACGCTTCTCACTGTAATCATGACTATAGTAGGGTTATATTACTAATAAAATTATTAACATGAATTCTTTAATACATTGTATTTTTTTAAACACATGCAAATAAATTTAAGAAGCTGCCAGCTTGCCACATCATACAGTTTTATATGATA